TCAAAGTGTGCCTGGTCCTACAGCCTAAACACTTAGGTTTTTTCTCAAAACACTTAGTCTGATTTTCAACGTGTGCCTGGTCCTACAGCCTAAACACTTGGGTTTTTTTCTCAAAACACTTTCTGCACACCCACACATACACGTTTTTGTTACCTGGTGGGTCCCTTTGACAGGGCCGTTCAGAATGGGACCCATAGACATAATCTTTTTTTACCAAGACTTTAAGTAATACAAAACAGTCAATAGAAACCAAACAACTATTTTAAAGGAATTTTATTTTAGATTTTGTTTTCGAATTGCAGTGATTCTATTTTTGACATAGAATTTAATGCCACTCCATGTCCGATGTCTAAGGTCATCTGGTGAGGCATTAATGCAGGCCAGGCAGTGAGACTTCCCAGGGACCTTTCCAGTCTGTATGAAAGGTGTCATGGTCTTCTCCACAGCCTTCACCTCAGATGCAGACCATGGCTTTCTTACACGTTCTAGGGAGAGAAATAAAAATATATTAGCAATATACACTCCCAGGGTGAGGACCAAGCAGCCTGGCTGTAATCCCCCACCTGGTACACTTACCAGAAGGGGCACTGCCACTACCATGGGGTGCATCTGGATGAATGGTTGAAGGTTCTCCGCTTGAAGTTTCTTTTAGCCCGTCCGTTTGTGAGAGGATCTCTACTGCTCTCCCTGTCACACAGAAAATAAAAATACAAGTGGCCTTTAGGGGAAAAAAATCATACATATTTTAATAATATCAAGAATTACCTTCAGGCTCAATTTGTATCTGGTCGAGGCTCTTTCCTTCGAATTCCGTCACTCTTCCCTGCTCCATGGCCATCAACACTTTGCTGATTTTGGCCAGCTCCAGTGTCCCCTCTGGTAGTCTGTAATATTGCCTGTGGATGCGAATGTCATGGCCGAGGAAGTTGGCAAGTATGTCCATCTCATTCTCTTTCATATTGAGAACTGTAGACATAGTAGCTATGTGCTTTCTAAGTTTGGTTGAGGATAGCATCTCTGGATGCACCGCACCACATTCTTTGGCTACCTGGCGTAGGGAGTCTGATCCCCTGATGTGGGTGTCTGCGCCCGGGCGGGAAAAGAAGTATGGGTTATGGTCAGAGATGGAACAGGCCCTTCTGTTCTCCACCAGCACCTCCATCGAAGCAATCATTTCAGGAGTCAAAAGAACCGGCACTTTCCGACTTCTTTTCCCTTTAATTTCAATGCGTTGAAAATGCTGACACAGCTTTTTCTCAAGTTGGGACAGTCCCAGAGCAATGTTTTGCTCTGGGAGCAAAACATTGGAGGGAGCAAAACATGGGAGCAAAACATTCCACCAACTGGAGGTGGAATGAAACCCAGAACCTTCTTGTCCGGAAGCACAAGCAGTAACCACTGCCGCCCAACCAAGAGAATTCTACAATATTAAGCTTTTATTAGCCTGTTTTTGCAGTGATCCTTGAATTTCATAGCTCATCTTAGAGCTATGAAAGTCTTTTTCATAGCTCTAAATACAGAAAAAAAAACACATTTGTTTTTTTTAATGTTATCAAATAGTATCAGTCTTTGCCATTTGCTAACAACGGCCACAAAAATTGTAAAATCAAACTGATTGGGATTATTCGTGCATTCTTTAACTAGTGTTAAAACACACCACTCTATATTGAATAATTATTAGGCCCGAGCCCCGACTGGGGTAAGGACCTATTGCTTTCACAATGGTGAATGCAAGGGGTCGCGGTGCGTGACAGAAGCGTCAGTGCCTGTCACTCACCAAAACGTGATGGTTGGATGCGTAAACTCAAACGCCTTAAAATGATGTATCAGGTGCCATTGACACCTACATTGTTTTTGCTCGAGAGAAGTCGAAAAAACTTCCCCCCCTACAGACTGAGCCAAAGTTTTACATGGGGAGCCAAACCAACTGGTCATATTCATTACAATTTCACAACCATTGTTCATGGCTATGGGAGCAAATCATGGCACGGTGGCGCCACCCCTTTTGCGCGGTGCGGCGAGGGCCGTTTGACGCCGCTTGCGGCTTTAATTTGTATTTGAAATTGTATTGTTGGCAATTAAGATAGACATGGAACAAATGATCAAAACATTTAAAGACAAAATGATGCACTAAATTTTGGGCCATTAAAATAATAATGAGACTTTTTACAGTCAGTTTATGTTTAGAGAAAATATATGGTGCAATAAGAACAATTTTAACTCCTCATACTTTATAAATAAATAATAAAACAGATTACAGAATTATGTACAGGTATCTTTAAAAAAAGTCTAAAAAACAACCAATACACAGTACTTTATACTTGCCTCTTGTTTTGCCAAATATAAAATGTGTAGAATAATTTATTGTTATTACGGTCAAGATAGAAATTTTATACTTGAGTTAGTATTTTTTTTATTTTATTTTTTAGTATAGCTATTGTTCACTTATCTTGTGCTATGTGCTCCTCATTCCCACTGTTCTGTAACTTTTGATGCAACACCGCTGAGCGCCGAATAAAGGATTTCTTAACTCATTGACTGCCTGCCGTTTTTGATGATTTCACTGATTCTCAAGATCCATAGAATATTATTTCCTAAGACTATGTGAAATGTGAAACCAGATTCTGAAAGACTGGATTGTCTACTTTAATCAGCAAAAATAAGTTTGTTTTTAGCTATTTTTATTGTCCTGTAATCCCCAGTCGAATATAGGGTCCAAGATAAATTTGTCAATGGCAGTCAATGAGTTAATCTTAATCTTAATAAAGTTCAGAACTTGAAAGTCTGGAAATGATCAAATGTTCATGGTAGGTATAGAACAATGGATGTGGATCTTAGCATGGAATTATTTTCATTTACACAATTCATTATACCCCAGGGTCTTCTCCTAACGCACTCTCAACGGACGGTCACTGAAACCGGCGTTGACCGTTTAGAGGGAGCATGGCCCACTGCCTGTCACACTGGTTTATTCATGCTCCCTGTGGCTCCTGTGGCGGCTGACCCTTTGAGAGCTCAAACTGGAGGAGATCCCAATACTGAATATATTTAAAACATTCACTGTCACATCCTCCATCATCACCGTCCCACCCGCCGCCTCAGATCCTGCCCCCACTCTCTGAAACTCACTCCCACAACCCATCAGAAACTCCCACTCGCTACAGAACTTTAAAGAAGCTTTACCTGATTTTTTCTGAGTTAAAAAAAATGCTTATTATTACATACAAGTTGTATTTATAATCCATAATTTAATTGGAAACTTGAGCTCATTGATTCTTGAGCTTGTGTATAAATTCAGGCCGTAAAAAGTGCTGAGTAGAGACTTGGCGTGACGCTCTTTCTCCTCCAATCACAGAACACTCTGCGTCCTCTAGTGTCTACAACGCTGGTAAACACGGTAGCATGTTAGCAAAATTGGCTATTACTCCTCTTGCTGCATACACAGCAAAACAGTCCAAACGATGCAACAGAGAGGAAGAGAAGAGGGAACTAAAGCAAAGAAATGATCAAAGAAGAAATCAAGCATGGGTTAACATAGCTAGCTTAGATCATAAATCCTCTGGAGAGACCTGCGGGTGCGGGACCGCCTCAGACTACATTCGGACGTAAAACTATCGGTAATCTTTCAGTTATATATTTTGTTAGCAGTGCGTTGCTTTTGTACCATTTCATCATTGATTGGTGCACAGCTTACAAGAAGTTGCGCTAATGCTGATTTTGCATACGTATCAGATCGCAAATAAAACTAGAGGGAGCCTGTGAGCGAGTTGGGGGGGCGGTGCTAAACATTCAAACCTTGCAGAAACGGGTGTATCGTGTACGGGTGAATAAGTCTGAAATGGGAATCAGATTTGTTGTCATATTTTTTATATTGAGTCTAAAGAGTCCCCAATAAATTCAAAATATTTTCAATCTTTTTGTTCCTAATGTGTATGCCAGGGTTTGGGTATTTTAGGACCAATCAGCAAAATAAAATGCATTATTTTTGTTTTTAATGAATTGCAAATTATTATGGTATTTTCAGGGCTGGGAATCTATACGTTCTTTTCTTCCTCCCACTCCTTTTTGAGTTTCAATCATGTACAGTGTTATAGTAAGTATTTCTTAACGAATGATTTGCTAGAATTTAGCATATGGTCAGGGAAGACAAAACATCCTTGTCCAGAATGGAGTCAAGCTACGTATGGAGTCAGTTTGCTGGGAGAAGTATGTTAACTGGAGCACTATCCTCTCCTCCTACTTCCTCCTATCTCTCTGCATTATTAGGATGTTGACTGTAGTCTGTTCATTGCTATTTACCCATTGTCCCATTGTCTGTTTCATGGCGCGACGACGGGACCTCTGAACCTGGCCTCCACCATCTACACCAGCGGACTGCTCTGCCTGACCCGCCTGGGAGTTGCTTCAGTCCTGCACCGGACCTGTCCACATTCTACACCCGCTGCGTGGCCCTGGTCCACGTTCTGTAGCTTAGGTCCTGGATCTAAACCCCGTCCGTCCTGGTGGAGCGGATCCCTTTGTGGATCTCCCCGAGGTCTCTCACTTTTCTCCCACTGGGTTTTAGAATTTTTCCTACTTGATGCAGGAGGGTCTGTGAGACTGTTTGTGGTCTAACAAGAAGGACTGTGGTGATGATCCAGGACACTCTGCATTCTACAACATGTATGGACATTTATCAACTTTCATGGACATTGGTCTCTCCCTATGGACCAATACCTACAGTACTGTATGTGTTCCATATTTTTTGTGTCTTTACTGTTGGTACTCTGATCTGTGTTGACAATTTCAACAGTTTTGTAGAGTCCTCTGAGATGACTACTGTGATGAATTAGGGCTATACAAGAATAAATTGAATTGAATAGAAAATGTTATGCAGTGACATTTTATACTAATGTTTGATGTATTTTCAAATTGTCTTTTGTATGTGTTTTAAAGCACTTGGGGTTGCATTGTGTATGAACTGTGCTATATAAATAAAATATAAATAGATAAACACTCACCAATGGAGCGAGAGTGAAAAGCTCGCTCTCCCATTCTGGACAGAGCCGTGAAGTAAGCATCACTTTTCACAGCCAGCGCTAAAACACACACACAAAACAAATAATGTGACATTATTCAAACTTTAAGATTAAGACGAAGAGATCCTTTATATGTCCCATATTGGGGAAATGTCAGTGTTGCATCACTGGTTACAGACCAGTAGGAAAGATAAATACCTGTAAACAATAACTCAATACTGAGCATAGAGAGAAGCAAGTGTACAATATTCAAATAATGTAAAAAATAAAAATGAAAATAGATACAGAATTAAAAAAATTACAATAAAAATAGAATAATGAATAATGAAGACAAAATAAATGTAAATATAGGATTAAAAATAAAAACACAAAATAACAAATTAAATTGTTATTTTGTTAAATTTAGTATTGATAAAATACAACAAAATAGATTAAATGTAATGAAATGAAATTAGATAAAATAGATACATTGAAAAAATAAAGTAATGAAAGATTCAAATTATAACCGTGAACACTATTAGACTTAAATCTATTCAGGGTGGAGGCTCTAACAACGCGAGCATAAAGAAAATTCTCTATATTTGGGGTCTGGAGGAATCAGACTCATGCCGCTTCTGCCAAACAGACTTTGAATCAACCGATCACTTCTGGCACTGTCTTGTAGTAGCAGCATTTTGGGTAAAAATTCCAACAACTCCAATTAATATAAATATTAAATTTGAGCAGTGTCCTTTAGGTTTTTTTTTTTTTGGAGACATAAAGTTTAAAAAGATTGTACAAATATTGTTTTCCTCATAGGGAAAGACTTCATACTGTATTTAAGTAACGAAAGATCTTTTAATGCCGCAAGCTTTGGTGTCTTTGTTTGTCCCTTTTGTCCTTGTTTTTTGTTTTTCTTATATTTCTGTTGTTTGTCCTTCTTGCTTTGTATTGTACTGAAATAAATAAAATACAAAAATTAGCATAATAACATTCAGAGCTGAGTTAGAGATTGGGAGATTGAAGTTTTAAGTGAAGCCAAAATGTGCAAATAGGAACAGACCATAAAATCAATCTGGCCTGAGTCAATCACAAATACTTTTCCGGCAAGTTCTCAATCTGCAGCCAAAGGACGAATACAAAAACCCAGAAGCCTTCAGCTGCTATGGAGGTCAGGAGGAGAGACAAATGGGCTTAAGGCAGAGATTGGGAGACAGACTTCTGTTTATCTATATATCAAATTCAGTGGACGTGCTCTTTACGCAGCGGCTTATGCGATGATATATTGTATCCTTGGGTGTTTTGTGTGTCTATTACCGCATGGTATCGTATCTTTTTAATACATCCTCGCTCTAAAAACAGTTTCATGTTTTCTATTAAGTAAGTAAGTAAGTAAGTAAGTAATCTTTATTTATATACCGCCTTTCACAGACCAGAGTCACAAAGCGGTTTACAATTGTTAATATTTTTGGGCATTGGTCCACTCACTCCACACAGAGATGGGAGCGGGGTATTAAGATAACGACAGCCTGTTGTGATTTATTGTATTCACATTATAAAAATAATTAACACAAATAGAAATAAAGATAAATGCAGAATTAAAAAAATACAATGAAAATAGAATGAATACTAAAAATCAAATGAAATAACTGAAAAATAAAATGAAAAAAGGTTAAACAAATTAACAAATTAAATTGAATTCAAGAAATGCAAAATAAATTAAAGAAATTAAATAAAATAGACACATACATACTGTATATACATTGAAAAATTAATAAATACATTAAAGATATACACTTTATCAAATTAGACTGTGTTAGACTCTTTTAGCATAAGGACAGTGGTGATCCAGGACACTCCACATTCATGAAATTTATCTAAATTTTTCCACATTTATGGACACTGGTCCTTTGCCCCTCATGGACCAATACCAATGTGTTTTGTCATTGCATTTCTTGCGTTTGAACTTTTTGATTCTCTGATCTGTGTTGGCGAATTCAACCGTTTTGTTAAGTCCTCCAAGAAAACTACTGTTGTGATTTAGGGCGGTACAAGAATAAACTGAATTGATTTGAATATTAAAGCTTTATTCACATTCATACAGTAGCTGTTCATAGTCTTCAACAGGATCCAGTCAAGAGTCAATCTTGACTGGATCTTGTTGAAGACTGGGCTTAGTCCTGGGCTCAGTTCCAGTTAAGGCCATAAAACCTTATGTCCCAGATGTCTCTTTTACCTTTTATAAGAGTTCATTATCGCAGCATTAGGAGCTCACGGTCACTACACACTTTGAAACAACAGCAGGCGTTACCAACACATTCATTCATGTTTATCTTTTGACACCGGCTCCAGATGAACTTTGGAATGTGGAGAGAACTGGGTGTGTTTTCATTTCCTCCAACACTTTACAGCAGCTATTAAAAATAGTGTTTTTAATGTCGTGTCTACAATATTTCTTTTACCTTGAAAAGCCTGAATGTAGCCGTTTCCCAGAGAGACCAGTCGGTGCAGACTTGGGTTGAACTCATCCAACAAGTGCTGCAAGAGAAATATGAAATACATGCTTTTAAAAGCAAGAATTATGATAAAAGGGAAGCTACAATGCTATATTTTCCACATTGGTGGATTGTATTTGTTTGAGATGTCTCCAGAGGAGTGTGTGTTTTATGTGTTTTACAATAAAAACGATAAATTGGCAATAATGTAGATTATCAGAACTTCCAATTGGGTCCAGGACGAACTCATTTGTTGAAAATGAGTGGGTGGGTGAAAAAATCTCAAAAAACAACATGAAATAAACAAATGAACGGATAATAATCTGGAATAAAATAAACATGTATTGTACACAACAAAGTAAGTTATTTGGACTTAAAGCTGTGGTATCTAACTTTTTTTTCTTAAATAAAACTGAGACTTGTCACTGTAAAACGACTCAGATGTGCTGCCTTCGTCAAAAAAAAAAAAAAAGACATGTTCATAATTGCATACTTAAGTGAGGGTGGTCCTCTCTTTCTTACTTTTATAGTTTTTTAAACCCCTAGATCTTTTTTTCCAATTATAGGCCTTTACCAAATGGTTGGGAGGCAGTTTTATGGTAAAAGTGCCAAAAAAAACAAGTGATAGAGATGCCCCAAAGAGGTAGATTTAGCTAAGTTGATGTAGATATTCAAAAAGTGATCCATCAAATGGTTGAGGAAACCATTAAATAGTTAAAACAGAAACAGAATATCACCTGAAGCAAGATACAAACAGTTTCACAGAGAAAAGTGCATGTGAGCAAATATACAGTACATGCTATTTCAGTTCAACAAGCCTTATTTATGCTTCCTCCTTCTCACTGTCAGAGAAAAGCACGAGCTAGAAAGACACATTCCAAGGTACTTTTTCAGCAAGTCTGTTTTCAGTCGTACCCCAGCTCTGATGATCAAATATGAATCCAGTACAACTCTGTAGACACATACTGGTTTTACAATGTGGAATTCTGAGCTCTGAAAATCAACGAAGACACCAAACTATGTCAAATAAGTAAAACATACTTTCAGCAAACTTGAGAGCAAATCCACATGTTTAGAAACTGCTGTCTAACCCTTTCATGGTCACTCCTTGAAGAAAGCAAAGCTAAGTTTTCGTTTTCTGACATGTACACTATAAAAAGTGAGAAGATTTTGTGTTTTTATCTGTAATTATTTATGATTTTAACAACTTTAACAACTAAAAGTAGCCTTCCCTTGTCTACATTCTGAATAACAATATTGGCCAATGGGACAAAGCCCTTTAGTCTTATCTCAAAAACTTTGACATTTATTTTCTAATTCCAAGGGATATTTTCTTTATTCTTGTAAATGTATTTTACCAAATTTGAGCTAATTATTCACAGCTTTTTGCAGGGAAGGAGCAATACTTTTTTTAACCCCTAGCATTTTTATTAAAGGCCTTAACTAAATGGCCTATTACCGACTTTGGGTAAAAGTGCCTAAAACCAAGCGATAGAGATGCCCCAATGAGGTAGATTTCCGTTCCAAGCTTCAAGTAGATGTAGTGACTCAAAAAGTGATCCACCAAATGGTTGAGTAAACCATCAAAGGATTAACAGAGACACAGGAAAAGGACTGGAACGTACTCACCGAATATATGTCTAAAGTAGAGTGGTGCAGTTGCTCCACACTCATCCTGTCCATGTTGACCCCAGCGATTATAAACAGGTTGAATGTGGTGTTTATTGTGAGTAGAAAGCGTGGCCCGGTGCAGTCTAGGCTGGTCTGCTGGTAATCCACACCACAGAGCTCTGCTGGAGACTGTGGTGAATAATTAATCAGGCCTGCATCATAAAACTCTCTGACATATGCTGTAAAGACTATGATCGGACCACGGTGTTCCATGTTCCAAAAGGCCTCCGCTAATCCTGTGCTTTTGCTATGGTCATGTTGCCAAATGTAAATCCTGTAATCTGTGGGTTTTAATCACTTTGCATGTGGTAATCTGTATCAGAGGGACTGTACTTTGGGGGTAAAAATGAGCTGTTTGACGTAATGTTTGATTGTCTTACAGCGGATTGTACAAATATGAACAAAATGAAATATACTTAAGGAAAAAACTTGATTTGTTGTCATATGGTGGAATTTATCTTTTTATTGGTGAATACAAACAAAACAAGATTCTGTTCAGTAGTTTTAAGGAAAGGCAAGTTTATTGGCATAGCACAGTTCATACACAAGGAAAATCAAGAGAGGGATCATAAAAACTAGTTTGGAAATATTAACCCTTTTTTTAATATTTTTGTCTTTGCTTGAACCCCTATTTTTTCAAATTATAAGTCTTTACCAAATGGTTGAGATGCAGTTTGATGGTAAAAGTGCCTAAAACAAAGCGAGGTGCCCTAAGCAAGCTTTATTGAGTCAGACTCAAATAGATAGTCAGACTCAAAGAGTGATTTCCTTAACCAAATGGTTGAGGAAACCATCAAAGAGTCATCAGAATCAGAATCATAAAATAATAAGTCACAAATTAGAAATTTGCTTTGGTAAATGATTCAAACAAGTTATACAAAAAGTAAAATAAATAAAATAAGGGCATGCATCCAGTAACATCCACCTGACTAGAACCAGGAAGTATCATCACATTAGTCCAGTTCTCAGGTCTCTAGACTACACATAAATGTTGATGTTGACTCATAAACAACCTGACCATTCAGCAGGTTCCCAGGTATCCTACAAATACCTTGGAATCCACGTGGACAGCGCCCTCTGCTGAACACCTCAGTTTGACTTTCTTTGCTCTTGGCTACAAACGAGGCTGTATTTCTCAGGAGACTGAGAAACTGATTTGAATTGGATCAAGCCGTGCTGCAGATCCTGATCAGGTCTTGGAACATAACAGTCCAACTTAAAAACAAGCTCGCTCACTTCAACAGCCATGAATATACAGATAGTTGAGGAGATTGTTATCAATCAGGCAAAGAAAATCACCTCAGACCACTCTCATGTCCTTTGCTCTCGTATGAGCTCCTCCCATCCGGCCGTCGTTACAGAGTACCAACTAAAAATAAGAAGATACCTTGGCCGGTATAAGAATTCATTTCTACCCATATCAGTGAACCTCCTGAATACTGTGTTGTGATTTTTTTCTGTCTAATGTGATTTTTGTCTGTCAAATGTGTATTTTCAATGAAGCAGCCTGTGAGTCCAGGACACATTTCCTAGGAGACATAATTTAATCTTGAAACTTGAATCTTGAAGATGGACTGAAACACTTCAAATCAATTCAGGCCATTTATGAAGAGGCAGTGATGAAGTGAGCCACAGACATCATCAGGGACCTGGACAGGCTCTCAGCAGTGAGTATGTGCTGCTGCCGTCAGGCAGGAGACTGCAGGGGCCTCAGGAACAACAGACTGAAGCTGTCCTTTGTCTCACCCTCAGTCAAACTGCTAAACTCCAACAGTAGCTTTTGCACAGTATCATACCACCGTTGGAATATCTTGTAATGTGTCATCTTTGAACATATTGTCACAGTTGTAATAGGGGTTAGGGTGTTTAAATAAGATAAACTTTATTGATCTCTAGAGAAATGTCACATTTGGTATAATTAGTATCACACACAAAACAGAAAAATATGCAAACAGGAAATCTGCAAACATGTTAAAAAGTTCAAAGAAAGGGGTCACCCTGGCTCAGATGGTCTTTGAACCTAATGGTCATTTGCTCCTGATGTCTGCTCTCATGAAAAATTAATGAATGTAATAATGAATCTTTCTCTTTTGCGCAAGATGCATTATGTATAAATTAAATCAAAGTGACTATAGAGATATCTCACGTGACGTCACGATGCCTCGAACTCGCGGGGCATCCGCCATACTGGAGGACAAGCAAACGCTGTATGATAGTGGCGTGCACCCGGGGCCGCATAAACATGTTCAAAATTTTTGCCGTTTTTGGCTGCAGCAAAAGGAGAGAGAGAAAATAAGTTGTGTTACCGACTGCCAGCCGTCCTTACTTCACACGGCTCAAAAACAGAAGACATCTCAAAGAAACGAGAGAGAAATGGCACAACCATACGCAACAACAAAAAACTAATAGCCACCAGAGCGCCCGAATATGCTCGGATCATTTCATTTCTGCTAAGTAAAATCAATTTGATGGCGGATTTAGTGTTATTCCGAAACAAACAGAAGTTTAAGGATAAAACATATCTGTCTGACTGCAACATGGGGTTGCTCCATAGACTGTAGCTTAGCTTGTAGCATAGCTGTTATATATTTGGTCTCACACAGGACCTCACCCGGTTCACAGGGTATCTGACTTACCAAAGGCCAGCAGACATGTGAACGACTGAGCCGTGCTCAAGGGTGCCCCGTACTAGTATTTATTAATAAAATATACGGCTCCTCACAGTAGACGCAGAAAGCTCCATTGATTTGAATGTAATCTCATTATTTCCACTGCAGTGTAGCCACACATAGATCCATGGTGTAACAATAAACACATTAAATGTTAATACATTATACATATACATTCTTAATACATGTGCACAGAGGTTTTCAGAATTTTCTGTTCACGTTTTCATGAAAAAACACTGTTTTAATGCGACAATATGCGACCGCGGTAAACCTGGATGTAACGATAAACATTAATAATACATTTTAGGATGCATTTTCAGAAGATCTGATTCATGAATTTAGGTTGAGTATATATTTGGGTCACTAACTGCTGAAGTTTCAAATTCTATGTTCAGTTTTCATGTACTGTAGTTCGAGAGAGTTCTAGTTTTGAACGTCCAGTTATAGATAGCTAGCAGGGCTGTTACTCGCCGAGGTTGTCCTCCAGTATGGCTGCCGTGGCTGCTAGTCACGTGACCGTAGGATCCCTCTATAGCAGTGTGAGTATATAGTCCCAGTGCAGCCTAAACCCCGTTCGGTCTTCAATCTAGTTCATATTTTTCTTAATGTAAAATGTGAACAATTTTTGAAAACATGTGACCTAAGATCTATAAATAATGGCCGAAGAAATAAACTACTAATACTACAACTTCTACTATAGCACTTCACCACCGGTTTCTATCGTTGTCTTTTATTCTTGAGTGTTTTGTCCTCTTTTGTAGAATCAACTGCGTAGCACTGTGGTCAAGACAAATTGCCTCTCGAGGACAATAATTATTTTCTAGGAGGCCTGGTCCACCACTGCTCTGCTGTCTCCTGGACTTCTCCTCAGCAGGATTTTCCCAGCTCTGAACTTAGCCTGAACTCAGCCTGAACTACCATCACACTGGTACAGGTGCCATACGGAGCTCAGGTATTCCCTTTGAGAGCAGCGGGGGAGGATGGAGGAGGGTGTACGGTTACCGCCGTAATTGACGATGCTTCGTGGCTCCAGTTGAACCTTGTATCCGGATAAGGACAGAGGAAACACTAGAGAGCGCCATTAACAAGCAAGGCACATGACACGATTGGGAAAGCTAAAGCTGTGGTTATGTACTTTTCCTATAAATAACAGAAAGAGTCTTGTTAAAGTAAAATGAGGTGAACAAATCACAGCATCTTGTCTTAGTCTATATAATATATATTATTTGCAATTCAAAATGATGAGATGTTTTACTTTGTCATTTCATGTTTTATATTGTGAAAGTGAAAATAAGTATGAAGGATAAACAATGCTGTCAGCCTGTCCTAGCCCTGTGCTCCCACCAGAGACAGAGATTTAACCTCAGAAACTAAGTTATGGACAAAACTTTTGTATTAAAAAGCAGAAAACTGTCATAGTGGCACAATGACATCATACTGTTACAGGACTGTGAAAAGAGCTTTTAGACAGAAGGGGCAAAGTTACATGCTTTTGCCAGAAGTTCCTGATCAGCATGGATGGGGTTAAAAACAGTTTATTTTTTTATCAGAGGCTCAGTAGATTTAACATAATAAATCTCTTTTAGAAGCCCTGTCATCATTGTGTGGAGTGAATCGAACAATATCAGAACTCTGAACGTTGTAAAACGCTTTGGGTGACCTTGGTCTGTAAAAATGTGCCATATAAATACAAATTACTTACATACTTACTTACTGTGAGTCACTTTTTTTACCCTTTGGGCTGAGATCTGATTCTCTTTTCCACTTTTCTGTCTGAAAAATCTGATTTAAAGATGTGACAAGGCAAAAGTACAAATATATAAAAACTAGTGATAGAATCAAACTAGATTGATAACGAGGAACTAGAGCTAATGGGATTTTTGTATTGTTTTTATTTTGTTTAAATATCCATCCATCCATCCATTTTCTTCCCCTTAATCCATTTCTGGGTCAGGGGGTGGCAGTCAGAGATTCACCGAGTACACATAGCACCAGCCCCTCACTGATCCTCCTGCAGGTGGTGAGTCCACAGAAGCTTTGATCTTCCGGTGGGGGCTTCAGACAAAGTGGGGTTAAGTGTCTTGCCCAATAACACAACGACAGCAGTCATCAGTGGGAGTCGTGAAGTAAGTATTGTGGTGGGATCAAACCCACAACCTTCAGGCCCAAAGGCCAGTGCTCTACCAACTGAGCCACAGTCGCCCTTCTGTTTAAATTTTTTGGATTGAAAGTTGGATGATAGCATTTCATATTCATGCAATCTTTTCAATTCAATCTTCAAAACACCCCCTCGTCCATGTTGATGGTCCGTGCCCCCCGCTTCCTGATTTCAATCGCCTCTTGTATACATCTTTTGTTTTTATTTTCTTCTGTTCCTATATTGCTTTGTCCCAGATTGTCTCTTTTGCATGGCTCAGATGCTCCCGATTTGAGGTTGTCCTTATTTTTCCTTAGTTCTCTTTAGAATTTGTATTTTTTTGTTGCATTCCTTCTGATTTTACCTTGGCTCACACTCACACATTAAGAACACATAAAGAACTTTTTCTATCTAATTTGCCTCTTTGAACCTAATGGTTGTGGGTTCAATCCCACCACGACCCATGTCATCTGCTCCCACTGATGTCTACTGTCGTTATGTCCCTGGGCAAGATACTTAACCCCACTTTGCCTGAAGTCCCGGCTGAAAGATCCAGGTCGTATCTGTGTTGAAGGAGCACCCATCTTCCTGTGGACCCACCACCTGCAGGAGGATCAGCGAGGGAATGGTGCTTTGTGAATTGGGGGGCAGCTCTGATTGCCACCCCCCTGACCCAGAAATGGATAATAAAGGGATGGAAATGAATGAATGAATAAATATTGAATTGAATTCCTCCCACAATGTCATGTTTTCTTTGTATTCACCAATTTTCCCCATATTTACAGTTGAGAAAAGGAGCGGGGATAAGGGGAAGAAGAGACCAACTACTTTCTGAGAACTAATGCATATAAGAAAATGCAAGAATCAATAGAAATGTGCATTTTACCAATCATCCAAAGTAGGTCCCCTTTAAACAATCCACTATGTCATCTCAGGTGAAATGGTGAAGATCATTGTAATTCGAGCTACGTCTTGGGGGCGCTACTGGTCGGTGATAAATCTGCACCAGGCAAATGAGAAATCTCTAACAAAAGACACAAGTGCAGACCGAAACAGAAAGGATGGTGGTGAATATATCAAATGTAGAAGTGTTTGTGAAAGTTTAAAAGATTTCTTTAGTTGATAAGTATGTTTTTTTACAGAGTTCGTCTATAAAGTATATCTGTAGCACACTAGTGAATGATCATATAGACACTGTACATATACTCACACCACAATCCACAGAGTGCAATACAATATGGAGAGAAAACATACACTGTGTAACAAGGATCTGAAGATTTCCCTTGGGACAGTGAAAGTATCTAATTTATTGATATTTGAGGATTGTAAATTACACTATTTGAAAGATTCTTCATCTACTTCTGTCCATACTGGGAGCCTTACAGGAAAGCCATTATTTATAGTTATCGTTTAATCATGTGCCGTTTGAAGATGCAGGTGGCTCTGAGCATGAATGATTAAAGTCGTTATGGCAGCAGCAGCAGCAGTAGCAGCAGCAGCAGTAGTAGCAATAGCAGCAGCAGCAGTAGCAGCAGTAGTACCAGCAGCAGCAGCAGCAGCAGCAGCAGTAGCAGCAGTAGCAGTAACAGCAGTAGCAGCAGCAGCAGCAGTAGCAGCAGCAGCAGCAGCAGTAGCAGCAGTAGCAGTAACAGCAGTAGCAGCAGCAGCAGCAGTAGCAGCAGCAGCAGCAGCAGTAGCAGCAGCAGCAGTAACAGCAGTAGTAGCAGCAGCAGCAGCAGAAGTAGCAGCAGCAGCAGTAGCAGCAGTAGTAGCAGCAGCAGCAGCAGCAGTAGCAGCAGTAGTAGTATTATCAACAACAACAATGAAACAACAGCAGTGTAACATATGTACTGTGTACTGCGCTAGTTTTAGCATCAGTGCCAGGGTGAGGGCTGAGAACCGTTCCCACAGCCCGGTCATCACTCTCTGGTTCCGCAGTACTCTCCTCCGGGAGCCTCCGGGTAGACTTTATGGCCACACACACAGCACGTACACACCACTTTACAGCCACGGGGCTGTGAGTATTAACGTAAGAAAACACCATATTCATGAAGACACGCAGTATGACAGAGAGCAGTGCGCCTCCTCAGCAGCGCGATGTTAAGTGGAAAGTCGTGCGGGGAAAGTTATGAAGAAGATGAGCAATCAGAGGTGATTTCCACGCAGCGCGGTGTCCGTAACTCACCCCCACTCTGTCTGTGGCGGCTCAGGCTATGGTAAAGGGACATGCGCGCTGCACACAGGAGGAGGAGAGAAGATCGTATCATGTTTTCTCCACCACAGTCTGGCTGCGGGACTGTCAGATACATGTTAGAAGCAGAGCTAACGCTGTGTACGAGAGGAGCTGCTCTGCGCCTGTTCAAAACCCGCGTCCAAGTTTCTCCTGTCAGAACTACTGCATAGAGTTTTGAGTTTGTTTTTTTCTGATCGTAGCCAAATCTGCCGCCACCCTGAAGTTCATCGTGGTGATCTTAGCCGCCGGGATGGTGGCGTTTATCGGAGCGGTGATCTGCATCATCGCTGCGGTGCACACGGGCTCCTCCAGAGCCGCGGCTCAGCAGCAGCTGTCCGCGGAGAACCAATCTGTGTACCCGGACTCCGCGCACACTCCAGCGGGGGCTGGCTCTGCTGCTCGGGCCAGTTCTCTGGGAGCTCTCCATGGTTCTGAAAGCCCCGGGCCCGAGGCGCCCACCTTTAACATCGGCCTGAGCGGAGCGGGGGTCACAGGACTCACAGGACACGACCCCACAGTCAGCCGCCTGGTCTGCACCCCGATCCCCGCAGGAGACTGTCCGCAGCGCCGCTTTGAGCCACAAGCCGATGACCCATCACTGTACGCGGGGGAAGACTGGGGCTACCTCAGCACCACTGCCGAGGATCTGCAGCAGACAGTGCGCCAACAGAAGGACCAAATAGCGAGCGACCAGCGCACCATCCAAGAGCTCACGGGAAAACTGTCCGAGTGTGAGAAGGGGCTGCGCGGGCGCACCAAGCGCGGGGGTCCCGAGGGACTGTGGGGGGGCACACAGGAGCACATGGTCCGGGACAGTCCGGTCTATGGCCTGGACACTGGACACACACTCACCCTGAGAGCTGTGGACGAACTGGAGCAGGCCATCGCTCAGCTCACAGACCGCATCGAGAAACTGGAGGTAAAGCAACTATTGTGTAACATGAGTGAGTTTGATACGCACACGTACTGTAAGAGTAATTATTCCCCAAGAGGAAGCACGTGCAGGTCCCACAGGGACAGACGGAGAGCCGAGCCCCACATGTACTCTGAACATGAACACTTAGAGATTCATTATAATTTCATTTGGCCAACATAATTATTCTGTAGTGAGCAGCTCTGAGGAGTAAGCACTGATAGTGCAGAGCATATACAGGAGAATACATGCTCCAGTCTGAGAGATGTGATGTATAACTTATTTTTGGGCATAGGAAACACTATGCATAATGTATGGTGGTCTTATATTTGTAGAAAAGATGTCTGGTCCCTCTGAGGTACAGAGCTTGAATTATGTAGGACATGCTCTCTGCTCGTACAATGTGCAAAAGCAGGTGAGAGTGAACTGCAGCTTCACTTTGATGCGTTCTGGGGGCAGATGTTTCAGGATGTGTGTGTTTGTGTTTGTTGTGTTTGCAGCAGCAGGATGTCCACTTTTTGTTACAGTCAGATACTGATGTTGACTTGACACAGTTTCTTTGAAGTAAAAAGTCAGATAGATGTGAGCTTTTAACAAATATCTTATATTTAATGGTGTTCGCGCATCATTACTTTAGTCAATGAAAACATCTGATCTCCCCTATTCCTGCTCACTATGCCTCCATTCTCCATACTGTCTAGGGTCTCACTGTTGAGGGCCTCGCTGTTGCATCAGGTGACAGTGATAATGTGGCAGAGGACTTCTCATGTATAATAGCTCCTGAGCGCAGCCCCAGGCTCTGCACCTGCCCAAAGTGTTTACAAAACAACATTTGACAATCTCTGCACTTAACCATCCACCCATTTTCTTCTGCTATATCTGTTGCTGGGTCGCGGGGACAGCAGTGTATCCAGAGATGCCTAGACTTTGCTATCATTTTGCATTTTACCTTCGGTTAAAGATACATTGTGTGCAGGAAATTGGCTGGACGTCGAGGGTAATGTGGGCTGGTTAAATGGCATATACATTGAATCACTTATTTCACTGTTACAATATAATTAAGGTTAAATGCAGGGCTGTCAAACTCATTTTGGTACGGAGGAAAAAGTAACAACTTAAGTAAAAAAGGGGTTTTCTTTGTGGAAAGATGGAGTCTTGTTTCACATGTATTTTTTCACATTATGAAAGTATTCTTGTGTTATTTAAATAACACAAGATGGATCATATTTTCTGGTAGATTATTCCTGAAGGGATTTTCACACAAAAACGTTTTATTTGTATGAAATTAGTTCAGTTATAGTTTGTTTAGACTCAACACAAACTGGATCCAAGGTGAACTGTGGACTGATATGCCATCCATCCCTCCATTTTTTCCCCTTAATCCATTTCTGGGTTGGTAGTCAGAGCTGTACCCAATTCACAGAGCACCAGCCCCTCACTGATCCTCCTGCAGGTGGTGAGTCCACAGGAGGATGGCTGCTCTGTCTGTGAGAGCATAGCCTTGATCTTTCAGCGGGGGCTTCAGGCAAAGTGGAGTTAAGTGTCCTGCTCAAGGACACCACGACAGCAGACATCAGTGGGAGTCGGTGGAGAAGGTCTCGTGGTGGACTCAAACCCATGACCTTCAGGCTCAAAGGCCAACGCCCTACCAACTGAGCCCCTGATATTCCAATGACCTAGTCTGTTTTGTTTAACTATATCTAATTACCAGCCAGGTTTAGGATTTGTTAAACGACTTGGTTGTTTTCTTGATTAAAATTACCTTTAAGAGTAGGTTTAACGCACCATGGCAGCCACAATACAATATCACATCAATGCTAAATCATAATCATGGAAAATTGATTCAGGAGCCTCTAAAACATAATTCAGTTTATTCGGTCGACTATAGAAATAGCAGTGGGTGATGATTGATAGTCTGTTATTGGAAAAGGCCAATGGCACAAACTGGCAGCGCTGCTTTTTATCAGTCGTCCCAAGGGCAGCTGCGTTCACAAAAAGCATCTACTACTAAAGAAAAAGAGTAATGACTGTATAAACTATTGGAACAAAACGCAAGGCTTTCGGAAAAGTGCTGTGTGAGACTTATGCATTTTTATTCGCAAGATTGAATTTGGACTTACTTGTGAGACATTCATAGACATTTATATTCCATAGGGTTGCAAACATATAGAGTTCTGATTGTAAATACCAGTTGGCCCGATCCCTGGTGGTTAGAATTGGTTGCCTGGCTGACACTGACTCGACTTGGCAGGTTTGAAGATCCCTGCCAAGAGTTTTCTCCTCAGCACCAGGGGACGAGGAGTCTGTGATCCATAATGCAGCACTGGCAGTCGATTTGTTGTGAGCCTAAATATTGTGTTCTCCTCGCAGCCGTCTTATTTGGTTGTAAGGTATACGGAGAAGGGGACTGTCCCTCGCGAGGATTGGTGTAAAGGAAATTAAGTTTCTATTTAAATTCAAGACATAAACTCAATGTAATTATGTAAAACCGTATGCAAATCCTACTTGGGTTAAGGTTAATTAATGGGGAAATGAGATTGTACTCTGTGGTATGGCAGAGAAAGCTGACAGGCCATTGTGTTAGATATAGCTGGAAATTACAGTAGTGAGTAAGTCATATTTTATAATTTCCATAAATGACAATGTTGTTCCATTATTGGCCAATTTCCTTGAGAAAAACACAGTCAATTATCCATTTCATGTTTGTTATAACGGTTTGTAATTAGCGTATACACAACATAAATGAATAAATAGCACAACATAAGCCGTTAACAAATGATTTTTATGAAAACATTTTAGCTGCACACAGAAAAACGCCTGTAAATTATACATTTTGCCCAGTGGCCACCGGTGATATTATTGATGAGAAAGAATGCTGGACTAATAAGGCAGCTCTAATCTTTTTCCATTAAAATGATGCATGGAGAGTAGAACCACCAGGGGCGAGGTAATGTTGTTTATAGACTTTAAATGTCAGTCGTTTTTGCACTTATCGCCCCTGCTTATGTCCAAAACAGAAATAATCCACTAACCTCATGCACTCCTATCAATATCATTATTGTTGTTTGTAATGCAGTGCACTTTTTGACTGTTGAGAGAAGGAGTTAGTACTTTTGATCAGGCCGACTTGGCATAATAATGAAAAAGGATTTATGCCATACCTACAGAGCTTAAAGCCGCCGCCACTTCACAATATGTTACGCTCAACACTCTATAAACTCCTCAGCTTTAACTAGATAAGTACACTGTATTGGGCCCTGTGAATTCTGCAGAAACATTTAAAAACATGGGTTGAATTATAAAACAGGTTTTTTGTGCAATCAATCAATCACATTTTATGTATAAAGAGTCTCAGAGTAGACTGTCTAGCGACAGTAGCTCAGATGGTAGAGCATTGGCCTTTAGGCCTGAGGGTTGTGGGTTCGAACCCACCACAGGACCTACTCCACCTGCTCCCACTAATATCTGATGCCGTTGTGTCCTTGGGCAAGACACTAAACCCCACATTGCCTGAAGCTCCCGCTGAAACATCAAGGCTGCAACACATGTAGCAGCCATCTTCCTGTGGACTCATCACCTGCAGAGGATCACCGAGGGACTGGTGCTATGAGCATTGGGTGCTATGAGTACTGATGAAAAAACATTTCTTCTTTGACATTTATGAGGATGAGCGCAGGGCACATAGACACAGAGGCACAGGTGAAACACAGGGCAGATGATCCACCTGAACAAGAAATAAACCAAAACAAAACCACGATAAAACCATGTACCGAATAATAACAAAAATCCACACCGTGACAGAACAAATGTTATCGTCCTGGATCTACTGCCCTCCGTCTCTTAGGAGCGGATGCCCTCCCAAGGTTTCTCACTTTTTTCTCACTGGTTTTATTCTAGTTTTTCTTTATCGATGCAGGAGGGTACAAGGAAATTCATAATCTGGGACATTAAGGGATGTTTATGAACATTTATGAACATTTATGGACATTGCTCATCCTGCTTGACATGGATTAATAGATCTAGGTGTTTGTTATTATTGCATTTCCTGTGTTCAAACTGTTTGATTCTATGATATTCTGTTAAAGAAACTTTGTAACGTTGTTGACAACTTTGTAACGTCTTCCTGCTGTTATGATTTAGGCTTTACAAAAACAAATTGAATTGAATTATTGCCGACTTCCTGAATTTCTGCATTGGCATCTACTTTTACTTTTTACTCACCTTTTAACATTCTGTAACTTGCTCCCCTTCTCTGCCCTTGCGATTGCGAATAAACCATCTCATCTTCAAACTCACCTCACTCAACTTATATCTCCACAGTCCGACATCGGCCCATTTCCTCACAACATGACGGAGGCTGTGACCAGTGTGGGACAAGCGGAGGAGAAGGAGCAGAGGGGTGCCACCCAGGAGCCGTCTGCCCCTGCCCCGGCTCTCACCACGGGGGGAGACGTGTCCTGGAGGATGGAGGACCTGGAGGGGGAGCTGCAGAAGAAACTAGAGCTGCTGGACAAAGAGAGGAAGGCCCTGAGGCTGGAGACACACAAACACAAGCAGGAAATAGACCAAGGCATCAGCAACCTCCACCACCGCCTCTCAGGCCTGGAGGAAGGTAGGCGCTCATTCACTCCTCGCGCATAAACCAGTCTTCTCGTGGTATTTATAGCCCTGAGAAACTCAAAATGGAAGCATTGTGTTGGCACACGTGGACGATAGCGGGCTAAACTCACAGTGATTTTAAAATAACAGAACTTGGAAGTGTTCAAAGCCAAAAAGTCGGTGGATGTAGAAGCGGTGAGTAAGTGAGCGGGAGTATAGGAGCATTTGTTGCAGGAAGTGGTCGTGATATAAAGCTGGCGTACCTAACTTTGAACCACAAATAAGGAAAAGGATGAATTGTGAGAGCGTTTGTGAGAGCGACTGTGGTACAACAAATGAAAATTAGCCCAAGCCTACAAATTGGAGAGGTGAGTTCATTGACCTGCACTGTCCCAACCAAATAAACAATATTTAAATAAATAAGGATAATAATAGCATTGATTACCCTTGATACTTGTTTAAAACCAATGTGTTGCACACTCTAAGCAGAAAATAGTGAAAAGTTTCATATTCATTTTAATGGCCAAAAATAATGCATCTTATTACTTCTTTAAACAAGACTAAACAAGACTAAGACAAACAATAATAAAAGTTAGGCACTGCAGCTATAAATTACAGGGTAAATCACAATAATAGCATTTTGGTTTAATTGTACAGAAACACATGGAAGGCCTTTTGGTATTCTCTGTTGTGTTGAGTCATTGTATGTGCGTCATTCTTTTGGTTCAATTTGGAAACACACAGGCCACTTTGTGTCTCGTCGTTCACATGAGATCAATAAAATGTTCCCTCGCTCAGCTATAGTTGAAATAACTCATGCAGCTGTTGTGAAACCAGGCCGATATTTATGGAGCAAAAAGTTCCCCAAAAAACGTCTGCTTTTCCACAGATTGTGTGACGTAGCTTGAGCGGAGTTTCATTTTGTATTTCCCGTAATTAAAACAAGTGGTAAGTCTGTGATGAATAAGTGATCTTGGACTTGAAAGATCAAAACGGGAGGGGATACGCTCCTCTCTGAAGCCGTGGATCTGATGGATAAACGCATGGGGCCTTAATCTGTTTGATGTGTGGGCGGCACGGTGGCTGAGTGGATAGCACTCTCGCCTCTCAGCAAGAAGGTCCTGGGTTCGAATCCTGGTCGGACCAGGGCCTTTCTGAGTGGAGTTTGCATGTTCTCCCCGTGTCTGCGTAGGTTTCCTCCGGGTACTCCGGTTTCCCCTACCACTAAAAATACGTCCAATAGTTCTAGCATGCGCCTCCTGTACTGGCAACCCCGCTCCCATCTCTGTGTGGAGTGAGAGCCAAATGCCCAAAAAATTAACAATTGTAAACCGCTTTGAGACTCAGATCTGCAGTGAAAAGGCGGTATATAAATAAAGATTACTACTATCTCACATTCCGTCTTCTCTGGGTTCCTTTTCCCAGGTGTCCCAGGCCGGGCGTTCCCAGAGGGCTTCCGGCTGTCCTTCCCCACGAGGACAAACTACATGTACGCAGCCGTGAAGCAGCACATCCCCAAGCTGCGTGCCTTCACCCTGTGCATGTGGCTGCGGCCCGCGGACAGAGGCGTGGGGACCCCCCTGTCCTACGCTGTTCCGGAGCAGCCCAACGAGCTGGTGCTGCTGCAGGGGCCGCGGGCGCCCATGGAGCTGCTCATCAACGACAAGGTGCAGCATGAGTAACACAAGCACTATTTGAAAATAAAGTTATGATAAGATGTTAGAACCAGAGGGGGCGGGTACCAGCTCAACCGGGTCAGGGAGCAAACTTCAACAAGTCTTTTGTATTTATTTCATTAATTGGATTTATTTATTTCAAACCTGCAAGTAAATTAAAGGGCTAATAAACAGATCAAAGGTAAAAAATACACACAACATATCTATTTAACCCTGTCTCTAAATGAAATTAAATAAGCAATAATTCACGTACAATTATCTTAAACAAATGAACTTAGCCAATCATAAGAACTAAATTAGATTCTCATAATATAAATCTAAAAATGGAAAATGGCTTTGACAATATTAGTTATGCCTTGACATATTCATTGTTTATCTCCATTGACAATACTGCAAAAAGTGATCCAAAAAAAGTCAAAAATTGCTTAATTTGAGCATATATTGACTGCCTTAAAAGAAGATTAGCCAATTGGACGAGCAGATTTATCTTGTTCTAAAAAGATAAAGAAATGTCTCCCTTGGAATGAGAAAAAAAGCAACAGTTAAACAAGACTATTTTATTTATTTATTTATTTGATATGGACACAACAGTTACATTGGACAGACCAGATGCACTGCCTTTAGTGTTATAGCAAGACCATGCTAATTTTCAACTCTTGTCCATGGAAGGCTTTCAGGACACAAATGCACACATTTAGAATTTACTAATATAAAAGTAATTAAATATACAGTTCATTCATCAGCCATAGTTTCAGACGTCTGACAAAGATGTTTAAGTCTGTTTGTCGTTTTTGGTCACTAAATAGCTTTGTCCCATCGGCAAATCTTGTTTTAAGTCAGTCAGAATGTACTCAAATTAAGATAAAAGCACTCCATTCAAGCCATTATTACCTCATATTTTATCATTTTTTGCAGTGAATAGTCTGAAGGAGAGATTTTCTGTCCTATTACCACGGAACAGAGCAAAGGTGTTGTGCCGCCTCCACAAAGTTACATTATGTTGGTTAAAAATAATTTTGAACGAGCAAAAGTAGAAGCAATGTTGACTAGAAGGCGTGTGGGAGTTCTTCTGATATTGACATGCCTTTCACACGCCCCCTCCAAATGTCTGCATAAAAATATTGGGCCTCATTCACGAATAACTTCGTAAGAAACTACTCAACTTTCTTCTCAAGTTGTCCTTAAGTAGATTTCTAAGAAGTCCCCACGTGGGATTCATCAACGCACTCGTAACCCGCTGAATTGTTCGCAGCTGTTCTCTCAGATTGATGAATCCCATTTCCTCGTAAGTACAGCGCGCGTGCCAGGTGCTTCATTACCATAGGTACTTAGCATAAGTAACCGCCCATTAATGCCCATATAAGGGACTGCAGGGCTGTGTGCAGACGCCAGAGGAAACAGCAACAGGCCTAAAGCAGGCTTTTGCCAGACTGAGAATAAAGTTATAAAATGTTGACTTAAAAGTCGAAATATTATGATAATAAAGTCGAACTAGCAAAATTATGAGATTAATCTAAGAATATGATGAGATTAATCTCAAAATGTTATGAGCTTAATTTAAAAATATATTATGTATTATTTTAAAGATGAATCTCAAAATGTTTTGAGATTAATCTCAAAATATTTTGGACCCTGGGAGGAGATCCAGCGCGGACCAGCGCTGAGACCAATGCAGACCCGAGGAGAGACTGGAGTGACCAGCACACAGAAACCAGCGCGGACCTATAGGAGAGACCGCATAGACTGGAGTGACCTGACTGGAGAGACCGGTGCGCAGAGACCAGCGCGGACCGAAGAGAGACCGCATAGACCAGACTTGAGAGACCAGCGCGGACCCGTATATGGATCCAGGAGCATGCAGCACGGACCCGTATGGAGAGAGACCAGTGCAGACCCGTATATGGGAGAGACCCAAGGGCGTAGGTTTGCGTGGGGACCATGGGGACATGTCCCCACCAATATTTGGTGAGGACTAAAAAGTCCCCACCAAAATGACATGATGTCCCGTGACCCGGACGGTCCGGGACACATGTCTTCCGTTTGTGCATACGTCGTGCCTGTCACTCCCGGATTTGTCCCGGAAACCTATACCAGGGGTGTCATTCATACGGCCCGCGGGCCGGAACCGGCCGCCAAGAGATTTGACACGGCCCGTGGCTCATTTATGTAAAAATATAATAAAAATACATTTTAAAAAGCCGCGAGGCGCCGCGAGGCGCCGCGACGCCACAGCGCCGCGCTCAGGGGTGAGTCCAGTGCGTCTGTAGTGGCTCCACCAGAGCGGTGCTGAAGGAATAACATCTTAAACTACAAGACTCGGCAAAAAATACGGCACTTTGAGCGGAGAATTGAGAAAACAGAAGATAAACCTGTCTGGCCCTGAAGACACAGCAGTCTGTTTGTGCCCAGAGCGAGAGGTTAGTGCTGCTGCTGTAAAGGGAAGCTACCTGTGCTAACAACATTAGCATTAGCATCGCAGCCGCACAGTGAGAGAGAGTTTGTTAAAACTCTCACAGGCTGCAGACATGGTCTGAGAAACCACTCGCTTTTACCAACATGTTGCCATTGATAAGAGACTGATGTTACTGATGTCACATATTCATTTGTGGTGTTACTGAAACTATCAGAGGAGTTTTGAGCGCTGCTGCTGGTGCTGGTTCTGCTGTTGTTGCTGGTGTGTTGGACAGTGTGGACGGGTACCGATTGTAAAAACAGGTGTAGTGACAAAGCTGCAAATGGAGGTGATGATTTTTGGACATTTGACTGTATTTTACACAGAGACACTGCTGCAGTCGTTAAGATTGGATCACGTTATGGAAGTTGTTTTATTCATTTCAACTGAATCATGGTCAGTTTGATGCTTTCTCTGTGATAATGACATAACCATGGACCGTACCACACTGAAGAAGGTTAATGTGACAATAACATAACCATGGACCTTACCACACTGAAGAAGGTTAATGTGACAATAACATAACCATGGACCTTACCACACTGAAGATGGTTAATGTGATAATAACATAACCATGGACCTTACCACACTGAAGATGGTTAAGCTGAGGTGCTGCGTTTTAGTGCTTTTTTCTATCTACTTTACCTTTGTGAGCAGGTTTGTAATATTGTAAATACGTAAAAACTCACCGTTACATTTAAGTTTGTAACAGAAAACTGAGTATTAAAGGATAGTGTTTTAAAGGAAGTTTTAAATAAATGTGTTTATGTGCACAAAAAGTTGGACTTTGTACCGTTTTTGGATATTTTTGTAGAGCATCTCCTGGTCCGGCCCACTTGAGATCAGATTAGGTTTTATGTGGTCCACGGACCAAAATGAGTTTGACACCCCTGGTCTATACCTTCTTATATAATTTAGAAAAAATGCCACCTCCACAAAAAAAGATAAAAGATATCAGGAGCTTTTTTAACAGTTGGAAAGTAAGTAAGAGAAAGCACAAGTAATAGCAAATTATGAATTGTGATGATTAATCTTCTGTTAACATACATAGGAAACTCAACCACCAAGAGAGAACAATATAGGGAATGTTGAGGTAGAAGCAACAGGCCCTTCAGTGCATCAGGTGAGGTTGGAATTTTGTAGGTATGCATGGGACTATGAATTGTTTTTAGAGATTGATCGTATATGTCAAACAATGTAGTGAGCTACTCACTGTAGATTCTAATTCAATATTTTCTCCTCTGTTTTTATTTATTATAGGAAATTGAAAGATCAGAGCATGATTTATTTCAAGTATCGAGAGCAGTTCCTGAACTGTTAGAGCCTCAGGTGAGGGCTATTATGTAGATTTGGATTAGGTTTAAGTCAGTATAGAATGAACGCAACACAAAACTCAGAAGCTCTGATCCAATTGATTTTGTTTTAACTATTAGAAAAAATCCTTAACTGCTTCTCATTCAGTCTACAGCTGAGTTTAGTATAGAAGGCAACACACTATTGCAAATATAGTGTGTGATTACACAACAAATTCTGGGGGAGAAACTCTGGACCGCGTGCCAATGGGTGTAGACTCAGGTCGTAGTGAATGTCCCCACCAAGATTGGAACCAAACCTACACCATTGGAGAGACCAGTGCAGACCCGTCTAGATCCATGGGAGAGACCAGTGCAGACCACCAGTGTAGATCCATGGGAGAGACCAGTGCAGACCCGTATATGGGAGAGACCAGTGCAGACCCGTATAGATCCATGGGAGAGACCAGTGCAGACCCGTATATGGGAGAGACCAGTGCAGACCCGTATAGATCCATGGGAGAGACCAGCGCAGACCCGTATAGATCCATGGGAGAGACCAGTGCAGACCCGTATAGATCCATAGGAGAGACCAGTGCAGAGACTCAGCGCGGACCCAGTAACCTCCTGCAGCAGCAGTATATATGCCGTTGTTCTGTGGCCCGTGGATAAAGAAATGCCCCCTATAAATAGGAAGGGGTCACTAATACACGGCAAGATTTCCAATGTATTTGATAAAGCGTTGGCACATTTCATTTCAAAATGAATTAAAAAGTAGGCCAGATCTGCAGTGAAAAAGGCGGTATATAAATAAAGATTACTAATAAAGATTACTACAAATAAATAAATACATCGATATGACCAGGGTGCGATTTGTCAAAAAAACAGAAGGGGGGATAGTTACTCAATCACTTTATTGCATAAAAATCACATACATTTCATGCTGTTGAACTTGAAACTTGTAAGATGTGTTCTGTCTAGTAGTAACTCAGTGTGAGTGTGTGCACGTGCGTGTGTGTGTGTGTGTGTGTGTGTGTGTGCGTGTGTGTGTGTGTGTGCTTGGCGCGAGCGTGAGTGTGCGCGCTGCTGGTGGAGCGAGCAGAGGGTGAAGTTGATGCCTCTGCTTGCAGGGCGTCCGGAGAAAATTAGGGAGCGAGACGAGTGTTTAACGTGACATTACGGCCCAAACTCGAAAACAACAAACTGGTGTGCTTATTAGAGTCACACACACTAACAGTAAACCCTGT